TTATTTACCAAAAAGCAGCAAAATTAACTTTTGTTATTCGTTGATAATAACAAGTTTATCGCATGACAAAAGGAACAATTCCAATATGTTATGATAAACTACTTTGTATGTTTATTAATTCATGAAAATAAATTGTATTTCAAAAATTTATTTTCATAAAAAGCAATTTAACAATGTGTGTATATATATATATATATATATATATATATATATTTGTAGAAATTCAATTTTTGAAATATATTGTATTTTTAAGGAAAAAAGTTATGTTTTAGAAGTTTGAAATATATTTATTTTATTGGAAAAATTACCTAGTATATTAATTAATAATTTTTATATATTTCTCTTAAAAGTAAATTTTGTTGTTTTTGAGAAAGTAAACCATGTGTTACTTTTTTTAAAATGCTTCAAAGTCGTAAATTTTATTTTATTTTTTAATTGAAAATTAATCTAGAAATACATTACCAATCACGTATTTTTTTTTATAAAAAAATATGCATTTAAGGAAAATAAAACAACACCGAAAAGCTTAATCAAACAAAATTTTAGCATAACCTTATTAGGACAAGAGTTGGGAGTTATAACTAAGTAGATAGGAGAGGAATTCAAATATATCCAAAATAAAAATAAAAATTTAGAAATTAGAAAGTTAGAGCTTCATGCCCATGTCATAATTTTCTGTCAACTCACTAAATCCTGTTTTAATCATATGTACCTGAATACATGAACTCCTAAATTCTGTTTACATTAAACTTAGGCATTTAGGGATTTATGATCATCATAATCAAAAGTAGCCTTTTTCAATTTTATGCATCATGAATTGGAAATGGAGCAAAACTAAAATCAACTTTTACTTGCTGAAGAAATGCAATCTTCCTCATAAATCTTTCATAGATATTAAAAAGACATAAAGTGCTCTCTAGTATAATTCATTTAAAGAATATTTTACCACTTTAGTTTATTGTACACTAGTAGATGTCTTGAGTACAATTGAAAACAACATGTGGTAATAGATATTAAATACTTGAGTGTAAAATCACTCAATGAAGATGATGATCCAAAATGAGAAATATATTAACCCTTTATCAAACATATAAAAGCTACTCCCTGAAAATAAATTTTATTAGTTTATTTCAAGGTTATTCATAATTAACCATACCTCTTATCTTTTGAGTTGTTTGTTTTGATAGAATGGTTATGAATTTGTTAAGAATAATTCTGATTTAGTTTATGGCCTATTAGAAGTAAAAAGTGCATAGGTAATATCCTAACAAATAGAAAAAAATTTGTAATTAGTTTGACAATTGTTCACTGACATTACTTCATTACTTGAACCAAGTAGTCCTTTATATAAAATGCCACTAAATTTTAAAAATCTACTGTATAGAAATCATTAAACATTTCTAATGATAGAAAAAAATCAAGCAACAATTGTGAAGTTCTACATTAGAATGAAGAGGAAAAAATTCAACATACATGTAAAATAAAAAAAAATAAAAAAAAAAAAGTGAAAATAACATGTAGCCAACTCACAATTGGAGGTAAGAAATCTAGGTAACACAAATCTATGTGACCCATAGTCAACACTTAAAATTTTATCAACACTCAATATAAAAGAAATACATCGAAGAATATACAAGTAAAAGTTATATTTGTTGGAAAAATTAATCTTTAAACAACGCACAATCACAACAAAGTAAAGCATATAGAAAAAAATATAAGATTTAACACACTTCGATAGTGTGACTATATCTATAGGTAAGACCGACAAGAAACTTTTTCCTTATAATCAAAAGAGAGTACATTACCAATAGGATAAACCTCCCACAAAACTATTTAGGATATACATTAAATATTTTCATAACTAATATATAATATTTCTAAGATATATATAAAATATCCGTTAGGATAAATATAAACTATATCCCAGAATATAGATAACATATCATCAAAATTAAAGTCACATCAACAAATCTTCTTTTTGGCTTGAATTATCTTATCATCAAAATAATTGACCGTCTCGTCACACTATCTTACAACCATATCCTCACAAGGGCACTACTGAATATCACATACTCTAACAAAGTCTAGGCAATGCCTAAACTTGGTAACTAAGATTGTCTTGGTAATCATATATGTAGGATTATCATGTGTAAACACCTTCTGTACAACTACAGTACCCTATGATACAGTGTCTTGAATAAAGTGATATATGACATGAATTCATTTGGTCTGCTTATGGTACATCTAGTTCTTAGTGAGATATATAGCACTTTGATAGTCACAAAATATTAAAGGCTTATTTCTTGTCATCCCTAGATCACTCACTAAACTCTATAGCCAAATAGCCTCCTTTATTGCTGTTGCTATATTCATGTATTTAACCTCTATGGTAGACAAGGCAATTGCAACTTACAACATTGCCTTCCAATTAATAGCACTCCTAAAAAGAGTAAACAAATAACTTATCAAAGATCTTCCCCTATGTAAATCCCTTGCATAGTCTAAATCCACATAGCGTATAATTGAGTCACCCATATTGACTCTGCCAAATATTGGACCCACATTTGAAGTACCCTTTAAAAACCTCAGAATCCATTTCACCTATTTGTTAGTGTTATTTTTTGGGATACGCCATGTATCTACTCACTACACTGATTGTATGTGAAATATCAAGATGATTGCAAACCATGACATAATGATGCTACCTACGACACTCGAATATGGAACATTAGCCATGTGCTTCATGTCATCATCTATCTTTAGTGATATGTCTACAGATAACTTAAAATGGGTAGCAAATGGAATGGTCACAAACTTAGCATTACTCATGTTGAAATGTTGCAATACTTTTTCAATATAGAATCGCTAAGGGAGGAAAGTTTTCCAACACTTTTATCCCGAATAATCTCCATTCCCAATATCTTTCTTGTAGCACCCAAATCTTTCATCTCAAAATGATCACCCAAAAGCTTTTTTAGAATATCAATTTGTGACATGCATTTAGTAGTAATAAGTATGTCATCCACATATAATAGCAAATAAATAACAAAATCATCTAAGACCCTCTTATGATATACATAATTATCATAAGTACTACGAGTAAAACCATTATATATCATGAATGCATCAAACCTCTTATACCCCTATTTAAGTGACAGTTTTAAACCATACACAGATTTCTTAAGCAGACAAACATGATTTTCCATATCCGGAATGACAAATCCCTCGAATTGACTCATATAGATATGCTCCTCCAACTCACCATGTAAAAATGCAGTGTTTCCATCTAGTTCAAGCTCTAAGTCATGAAGAGCTACCATAACAAATAATATTTGATAGAGTTATGCTTCACAAGTTTAGAGAATATTTCATTGAAATTGATTCCTTCTCTTTGAGTGAAGTCTTTAGTTACTAAGTAAGCCTTGTATCGAGGTGCTTCTACCCCAGGAGTGCCTTCATTCTTTTTGAATGCTCATTTATAACCTACTACCTTTTGTCCCTTTGCCAATGACACAAGCTTTTATGTCCGATTCTTGTGAAATGATTCAATCTCTCGACCCATAGAACCAATCCACTAATTTGTATCTGAACTAGAAATGACTTCTTTGTAAACATTAAGTTCCTGCAAATCAACTATCTCTACAACTTAGAAGGCATATGCAACAAGATTGTCATATCTCTATAGTGATATAATATGTCTTCTCTCTTTACCTGTTGCAATACTATATGATTGTTGTTAATCCAGTGCATCACCTTCTGGATTAGAATATTACACCTTATCGGGTTGAACTGCTGGAGTTTCTAACTTTACTTATTCTCTAACACTATAATCTGACTATGCTACTATGTTTTTCTTCTAACTGTCTAGTGAAATAGATTTATTAAGTGTTACATCTCTGTTGATAATTAACCTTAAAGACTTAGGATCACTACACCACAACCTGTAGCATTTTGCTCCAGATGTATACACAAAAATATGCATTTCTTCTCTCACGACTCAAGGTTACCATCTTTCATATGAGTATAAGCAGGATAACCAAATACTCTCAATTGAAAGTAATTAATAGGTGAATTAGACCATATGTCAAAATGAGTTTTGCACTCAATAATTGTGGATGAAGATCTATTAACCAAGTAATAAATAGTGTTTATAACCTCAGCCTAAAATTTATGTCCCAAACCTGAATGAGACAACATCCTTTATGCTCCATCACAAAATGTCTTATTCATGTATTATACAATATCATTCTACTGTGGTGTCCCAACATAAGCGTTGTATCTCACTGTGCTTATCGTACTATAAAAGTCATTAAATGAATGATTGCAAAATTCTAACCCACTATCACTCCTAAGTCACTTGACATTTCTCTATGTTTACTTCTCAATCATGGTCTTCCATATGACAAATGTTAGAAATGCCTTTTCTTTATACTTCAGAAAATACACCCAAACCTTGTGAGAGTAATCATCAATCAGAGTCATGAAATATTTACCACCAACCTTGGAGAAAATTTTGTATGGACCCCAAAAGTAAGAATGAACATAAATTAACTTACTTTTGGTTCGATGCACTACCTTTTTGTTGTACTTCACCCTGATCTGTTTGCAAAACATTACAATGTTAACAGAAATCCATGACTCTTTTTTTATACCCGTTCAAGAAACTCTGTTTGCTCAAAACAAATAACTTCTTATCACTCCTATGACCCAAATATGGATGTCATAACTGATTACTGCTCCCTGATGCTACAATAACTTCTCTAAAAATTGTACTTTATAGATTCCAAACTGTCTTTCATGAGTACCTTGAAGGTTTTATATACTTTAAGGATACCATTCTCTGCATGGTAGCTATAACCTTGAGAATCCAATGTAGAAAGAGAAATCATATTTCTCCTTATCTGATGAACATGCTAACATTCAATAATTTTAAAAACTTTATCAACCATTCTTAATATGATATTACTAATCCCAACTACATATAATAAATAGTCGTTACCTATATACACAATACCATTCATTTACTTATAGATAGCAAACCAACACCTATATGTACACATGTGAATGTAGCACCAAAATCAAGAATTCAGGAATTTTTTATATGATCTAAATTTACAGATAGGACTTCCTCAGCAGTACTGCTATTATTATCACCAAAATTATTTATGGTGATTGTGTAGACAAAACTCTTATGCTTCTTTCTCATTTTCTTTTTCAACTTAGGACATTTTTTTTCTAAAGTGATCATGTTTCCCGAACTCATAACAATTTATTTTTTTAGCTCTAGATATCGATATGCCTTTTACAAATTTCCTTATTTGTGTTCTTTCCCTGTTTACCAAACTCTTCCATTTTTTCTACACTATGAGAATTTTTTTAAAAAAATAGTTTTTGTTATTTTATTGCGTTACTAACATCATCTAGTAAAATACTCTTTTTCCTACATAACAAAGTATCAACAACAATCTCATAAAAGGATAACAGTGAACACAATACAATTAAGACTTGATCCTCATTATTAATCTTGATATCTATATTCTTTAGGTCCATAATTATGGAATTAAACTCATCAAGATGATGTTTAATAGGTATACCTTCACTCATTCTCAGATTGTATAATATTTTCTTCAAATAAATGCATGAATTTTACATAATATAACTCTTTCAGTTTCTTCCACGTAGTTAAAGCCGAACTTTCTCCAACAATTTCTCGTATAACATTATCAGTCACACTCAAAAAGATCGCATAAAAGATTCTATCTTCCATATCTGTCTTATCCAACTCTCTCATACTATCAAAAAATATTTCTTCGATTGCCTCCCACAAACCTTATAAAATCAAGAACAATCTTATTTTTCATAGATTGAAACTCGTTCCACCATTAAGTTTTTTACCTTATAAATGTCATCTCAAATTCTTGGACTATGTACAAAAAATAAATAGAGAGAAATATCATTATAAAAAACAAACAACCAATTACAGGGAAACACCACTGTATAAAATACCATCACACATAACCACTGGAGCACTGCAATCGCAGCCACACACCTCCATGTGCGACG